GTATCACGTCCACGGTCCGACTTTGGAAATGATCATGCATACAATGTACTCCAGACTAAGTGCTCTCCTCTAAGTCTTCCTACCAATGTGACCAAGCTGCGAAAACAAGGTCAAACAATTTCTATACAACGCTAGGAGACTTCGACTAGACAAAAGGCCACACCATCTTGGTCTTCATACCTTACATTACTTATTTTTCTTTTATAAGTAGCGTTTCGAGGGTGACAATATGGCATAGTGGGTGATGTGTCCAGATTATACGCTGTATTGTCATGGTTCTACTCCCAATATGGGTGTTGATAAGACCTACGTGAGGTCGAAATTGCAGTCCACCCTGAATTAGAACGCCTTTTGGGAAAGCAAGGATATGTGAAGTTCATTGGAAATATCAGTTACCGAAATGGAACGAGAGGGCTAATAAACTGGATTGTTCAGGAATTTTTGCATACATGCAGCACTGTGGGCAGAAGTATATAGGTAAGAAAGGAAGAAAAGTCAGCCCACGAATCAAGGAACATCAAATATTCTGCAGAAGCACGGATGCTAACAAATCCGAAATAGAGTAACATACTACAATGATGGGACATGAAATCGAATGGAAATCGAATTAAAGTTTATAGAAATGCTGGCTGCATATTGCGGAAATACACGAAAACGCAAGATTCGAAAGGCGGCTATAATGAACAGGAGACTTGAAGAAGGCCGGATTAGCTAAAACCTTGCATTTTGATTAAAGAAGATCGGAGGAGATCAGGGAAAAGTAAATATGCAAAAATAAAACGACCAGATCAAAAAAATATTTTAAACTTGAGGAAAAGAAATCTCGAGGAGGCCATTGAGAGATAATTGGAAATCAAGAGGATACGTATACATTGAGCCTAACCAAAGTAAGTAGAACAACTATAACATTTGCGAGTTGACACACAACAAACTAAGGCATAGGGAGGTCATAGACTTTACATTATGGATAGAAGCAGCAGAGATGTGGCGCAGTCCAAAGGAAGTGGGTTAACAGGAGACTGGTTTGATCATAGACGTGTCCCGTGAAGTAAAGGCCCAACCATGAGATCTACCCCGTCCACATGCCGAATACTGATCAGGGCATCTGCAGTGTCAAGTTAGTTCCCTATCCAACTTGAGAATACAGACTTTGGGGTCCTGCTTATTAAGGCTGGAGTATACATGTTAAAGGAAGACTATTGTATCTGGAATAAGGAGATTGCGGACTAAAATGGTAGACTTGGCTCAATACTCCCGGCACAGTCGGAGGGAGGTGAGGGAACCACCGGGGAGTGTAAATAGGTCTCCCTAAATCCGTTCCAAAGGGCACATTTGAACAAGGTTTAAATAACCAAGAAAGAAATTGTGATAATTAAGGGGTGATATATGGACGTAGGATACGTGAATTCACCAGGATAGAAGTTGAGATAGCACCATTATTCAGCAGACAATTTGTTAAAGGATCGACTTCAATTGACTCTCTGATGAGTTGTAGTGTGGTGTTAAGAATAGCAAGGCTTACTGACAATGCCGACGCAATGTCTATGAATGTGCCAATTCTATGTTTCGACGCTGGAAAGTATCATGGATACTATTAACCCCGGACAAGGTACGTTCCCCTAGTTCTCGCTGACAATACTACAAAGTTGCAAAAACAAGGTCAAACAACTTCTATGAATTATTATTTTTAAGGATAGGAGGGATTCTTAAATTGGCCTTACAAGGAACTGGATGGCCTGGGAGCTGTGCTAGTTGATTTGCGCGAAGAATTCCTGCGCGCATCATCCTGCGAACTCAAGCAATCTGAGTTAAGCTTTCGTATACCGCTTGGCAAATTTTGACAAGGCGTGAATCCATTCCTTGCGAAACTGCCAGGCATAAAGTTAAGAAAGCTGGTCATCTGCAATCTCGCATACTTTTTATAACCTAACTTAGCTAACTTAATGAGGCATTTAATGGTTCGATTGTTTACGTCCCGTTTACTCTACATGCTAGCAGATATATGGATTGGTTTTGGATAGTATGTGAATTGAATGAGATCTTGAACAAAACTATATGCATTTGGGATGGTGCAGTGTTGACACATGTTCTTATGCATGAGCATTGTGTATATGCTGCGCTCATGGGGACCCTAACCATAACCGAAGCTAGTCATGCTTTCTCCTCTAGCTCGACGATACTTTCTGCTCTTCTACCCGTCTTTATCCTATCCAACGGCCACAAGTATTTCCTATAAATTTTCCTACACACATGCCTTCTATCCATGTAATTGGCTTTTAGTTAATTACAATAGACGTAATGAACTTCGGCTTCTTCGTAAATTCCCCAAATCCAACGAAAAGTGTGGCTTGATACCATTTCATCTAATGCCTTTGGATGGCCAGTTCCAAATAGTGGACCTTAAAACCCTTAAGGCTGTCTAGTGTTAAGATAATCTCGTATATATAGGGTGGAACATCTTTCTTACATATATGTTACAACAAAAATACAGAACTTTTTTACGAACCCAAACTTGAAAGAGAGTCTGAGAATTTCTAACAAGATGGTCTTACAGCATAAATCGCTATTTTCTACTCATAGCTTGCTTTAATTTTTGACTTCTCAAATAATTCACTGGCGGGAAGGTAAAATCAGGATTCTTGTGGAATCAGTCTCATACTCCTTCAGCTTCTGGTGAGGCCGATTTACAAATCCTTTCTAATCGCCTTATCCCGTCATTTCTAAAAAGTGGGTCTGGATACCAAACTTTTCGAGACGCAACACTTTACAAAGAGACCAATAAACTAATGACCATATTGTTTTTTTATAATTTGGGCTAAAAGGTTTTGTATTATTGGCAGACCGAATTTGCCCGATAGAGATTAGCGAGTCCTTTAAAATGCTCATTAGTTAACCGACCTATTCACCTAAGAGACTAGGAGAGAGATTGATTTGCAGGCTGTCTCTTCAAGCGATAGTCATATAGAGCTACCAAATTAGGATAGAAGCGCAATAATTACAGTGTCGGGGGCAGATAAAAGAGTAGTTATTGTTATGAATAGGATTAGTTAACAGAAAACAAGACGCATTATCAAGGTCCCTAAAGGAGCCCAGGAGCATAGATTCAGAGGTTGCCTTTTGCAGTGAACTGGAAAATCAAAAAATAAAACAAATTTTTACAGAGAAGCTTGGCATCCGAATGCATGTAGTCTATACAAAATAAATAAATAAAGATTCCTAAATATGAGTATAAAAAAGAATAAGTGTTGCATGAGGTATAAAAAAAGATATTTTTGGTTGCAATCAGGCTTCGATAATAATGTTACATCTTGTAAAGGGGCTGTATTTACCCTAGATATAATAGGATGGCAGAAGATTAGTAATTGAATTTTCGGAATAAAGGATGTATTCCGGCAAAGATCCTGATTTATACTTGTTGAGCTCATTGCTATTTCGAGTGAAATTCTTTGACGAAGGTATTCTAAGGCCGATCCCACCAGAAGATGACCAGTATGTCTATGGCTTTAGTGAAACATAATTGTTAGCATTGTTTCCGAGCCAATATTTTTCGATTCCAGTGAAATCATGAAATTATGAAAAACATCTTAGAAGTAGGGAATCATCCTTACAGCCATATTCAGGCTAACTAGTGAAGTAAACTCACCGGCTTATTCTCATAGCTGAGTTCCTTGATGAGGTATTAAGTGAATGGTTTAGATAAAGCATGTTTGTCTGTCTGTGTGTATTTATGTGCCTTTATATGTTTGTATATTTACAAATCGGCAGTGATGGCTCATTGTAATTAGAACAGAAAAGTGTCAATAATGGAGGTAAGAGTTAAGACTGACACCAAAGTCGTTAGATATATATGGATTATTATTATGCTATACGGCATCAAGGTAAGCACAGTTTAGATAATTTCATGCTCTTAATTAATCAGAATGATTGTAATGTTAGATTTGACAGCGTCCACAGTATCCATGATTATTTCCAGAGCAGACCATAGGCTTCGCACATTCCTAGAGGTTTGCCTGCATAATAATTGGCATCTTCAGTTAGCCTAGCCAGTCTTAGCATCACACTACAACTCGTCAGAGACAAGAGAAATCAATCCACTGGCCAATGGCCTGCTGGATACTTGTGGTTCTCTTGTGTCCTCGTGCAATCACTTATCCTAATTTCCCGTATCACCCCCTCAGAATCAAAATTCGCACGGATATTATGGGCTCCGGACAAAGTGTGTTACTCTAGGTCTCCTTGATAATACGATCAAGTTGCAAAAACAAGGTCAAACAACTTCTATACAACTAAATTATAACGCGACTGTACTAAAGGCCACATCATCTTGGTCTTCCTACCTTCGTATAAAATATTAGTTAAAGCCTATCCATTTATTATCATAATGGCTAATCTTATGTTCCGTATGATATGTTTTGTAACTATGGTTGGAGAAGAAATTTAGGATAAAGCCAGCGTGTGTGTGTACATCATTGCTTAACTTCTTTCCTGCTCTGTTTATTTGGACATTTAGAAATTGCTTATTATTATACTTATCTATCTCTATTGTAAACTTAGCATTACAATCAATCTGATTAATTAAGAGCATAACCTTGTCTAAACTATGCGAAAAGAGTCAGCCTTTGTATTATGTTTGTCCCCTTCCTCTGCTACGTGAATATAGAAACGGAGCGGAGTTGAATTCTTGTGGGGGTGGGTATGGTAATGAAGGTAACAACGGAATTCCTTGAAAAACTATTGCGTAATATTTCTGCTCATATTACGCTTTTCGTTAGATAAACTAGTTGACTGTGAGTTTGCTTGTTATTATAATAAAAAAGTTGCGCCACGGTCAAAGCAATATCTGTTTAATGACTTCTGCTCCATTGTAATGAACTGAAAATGAAAGAAATGGACTGTGATAAATTAAGAATTAGTAATAAAAGTTAACCATACTCCAAGTCATAGAATATAACTATCAAACTCGTGCGCCTCCTAAATTTATTCAGATATATTCTAACACATTAATCTGCAAAACCTTGCAATAGCTCAAATATACAAATGTAAGTGATCTTACTCCTACCATTATCTACTGATATTTTAGAGCTCATCTCAGTGCTCAATTGCTCCAGACTATCGACGACACTGGGCGTGGCCAGAGAACGGATTACAGGGCCATCTTCGACTCCTTGCCCTGCTGTGATCTGCATCTGCTGCTGGGGCATCCCGGTTTCAGTCCCAGCCGCTGGTCTGTGAACACTGTTGTCGGTTTCAGTGCCGGCCGTCATACCTGTCGTAGTCGTTGTCGCCGTAACTGTGGTTGTCTGAGGCTGAGCTTCTAGCTGACTGGCTGCTGCCACTTGTTGTAGCTTCTGAGCGGATGGCTGACCCTCCACTGTCTCGGTCTCAGGCATTAGAGCCAATAGGCTGATCCAGAGGTCGCGAGCAAATTGGGCTGAGTATCCGATAGCGGCATTCTCATGCAGACCAATAACCTGCGGCTTGGTGATTTGAGGCAAGAATTGTATATAATCTTCCAGGAAAGATAGGCAAAAAGACAGGCATAAATACATTAATAAAGGAAAAATGTGAAAGGTTAAGACACTTCTATTTACGATGAATAATTGGAACAGAGGAAATCGGAAAGCATATATGTATACATTTTTCGTATATATGAAGAGAATCGAGATTATCAGTAAAGCGATTGAACAGAAAAGTGGTGAAGACGATTGTCCTAACTTGTAAATTTGATAAATTTTAATTCTGTGCTTACAATGGTTAGACTCACTGACGAGACTGACTACGATGCAGCAGAACGTTTGAGAATGTACCCAGCCAATGGTACAATGCTGGAAATCATTATACTATGGCAGAGGACACAGGACTAGGTATGTTCGACAATGTCTCCCTGGCGCTCCGACCAAGTGGCGAAAAAAAGGTCGAAACAAAAATATAAGCCTAAAGGAGAGTGCGACTAAACAGAAAGCCATACCATCTTGGTCTTCATATCTACATATAAGAAAATCAGTTATATGAAATGCATTCACCCTACTTCGATTGAGTTGATATAGGAATGTTACTCGAATTTTCCCAAAATAAGAGGAGCTGAAGTTTCCATTGAAATTCACATAACAAGGGTTTCCCAAAAGTTGATCACATGCAGGGTGGACTGTAGCTTCGATCACGCCAAGGTCCTATCAATACCCCCAGCGAGAAAGTAAAAGGGAAAGGGCAGCACGTGAGCCATTTAGAAAGATTGTCATGCGTGCCCTTGTGTCAAAGGGAAAATCTAAACTTCAAGGAAGGTGGGAATATCGAAGAAGCAAACGGATTTAAGATATAACAATGGCGCAAAGTATGTGAGATGGAAAAAAATGTCCTTCCTTGAAATTCACACCTGCCCTGTGATCCAAGGGCACTCGTCGCAATGTGGATGAGTGATTATCGAGTCAAACTCACATGCTGCACTGCCACGGTTCGACTCCGATGGCGGTATTGATAAGACACAGGGAAGATTGAAGCTGTAGTCCAACCTGGTTGAGAAGAACATGTGGGAAAGCAAGGTTATGTGAAACGAAAAGGAAACGCCAGCTCTAGTCGTATCAATGTGGGAAAATGATACTAGCAGTCCTTCAAAACCTTAAAGGAAATAGGGTGAAAACAACTCATAAAACATAGGAAAATTAAAATGAATTCCTCAATTTCATTAACCTACTTGACGAAAGAATTAAATTCACAATAGAAATGGAGGATGATGAACGACAACCGGTTATGGATATTGAAATGATGCGCTCCAAAGGGACACTCATGAAGAGACGATGGAGTCTACTTTTAGGGCAAAAAAACGCTGTGATATGGAATAAACCTGGCATTCTTTGAAATTCACACCTGCCATGAGACCCAAGTGCACTCGTGGTTGTGTGGCTGAGTGGTTAACGTGTCAAGCTCACATACAGCACTGTCACGGTTCGAATCCCACTAGGTATGTTGATAATACCCATGCGAGGTCGAAAGTACAGTCTATACTGAATGCGAACAACATTTGGGAATGCAAGGCTATGTGAAATCCAAAGGAAACGTCAGCTGTACTCATACAATTGTGGGAAAATTCTACAACCAGTTCTTTACCTCAATAAAGTTAATAAATTAAAAACATCTCATATAACGGGTAGTCGCGAATCTCAGCTTATATACGTAACATAATTAATGTAGTCGATTGTAATGGCAAACACGTTTGCCTCATCGACACTCCGACCCAAAAATGTGATATGGAAAAAACACGGCCTTATTTGAAATTCACATCTGCCCTGAGACCCAATGGCACTGGTGGCAATGTGCTAGAGTGGTTAACGTATTAAGCTGACATTCTGCACTATCATGTTACGACTCCCGCCGTGGGTGTTGATAATACCGATGCGAAGTCGAAACTACAGTCCACCCTGGATGCGAACAACTCTTGGGAAACCAAGGCTATGTTAAATACAAAAGAAGGCCGGCTCTATTCGTAGCATTGTGGGAAAATTCTACCTATAATTCGTCATCACATCAAACCAAATAGGGTGATACATCCCATATGTTTGATTTAATTGTAGTCTCGCAACACTGCTTATATACGAAAAACAAATAATGTGGTCGAATTTTATAGCAAATATACGTTTGCTTAATTAGCATTACCAATAACGAATGTGAGATGGAAAACCTGACCTTCCTTGAGATTCACATCTTCCCTGTGACCCAAGGGCCCTGATTACAATGTGCCTGAGTTGTTAACATGTCACGCTCACATGCTGAACTATCATGGTTTGACTTCCGCTGGGGGTGTTGATGTGAACTAGGCGAGGTCAAAACTGCAGTCC